GAAGGTTAAGGCCAATGATTTTCTTTAACCAAACATTAACTTGGATAAAGTTCAACAGAAACAGACATAATAGAAATATTTTTCTGTTCAAATGCTTGACAACTAAAGGCAGAACAGAAAAACACAGGGATATCTATTCTAGAAACAAGGTAGGTAGCCAATTAGGTTTACAAAAAGTCACATATAACAAAGAACAACTTGATAAAGGATGTTTGTGTTAAAAGTACAGTGCTTCTACTTTCCAAGCCTTTAGACAATCTTCAAAGTTTCGCTGTTTGGTGCTATTTTAACTGCAGCAGATTCAAACCTACTTACATTTATTTCCTGGTATATGTGAACTATTATACAAGCAGCTGTTATTTTACTTCAAAATGAAGGAAGAAAGCTTTCTATCACACGGAAAAGATGATCAGTGAGTTTTCCAAGAGATTGCTCGTAAGCAAGTATTTCAACATATTACAATACACATTAACATGATTACAACAAATAGCATTGTTGGCAAATTCATCAGCAACACTAAATCTACATAAAATTCTAGAAATACTCACATGTCCAAGTGTTGTTCCTCGTGTCATGATTGTAGCCTTGTTGATCGGCATTGCATCCTTAGTGTAATATGCAATGATAGCATGTCCAGATTCATGGTAAGCGGTGATGGTTTTGTTTTTCTCATCAATTTCTACACTTCTACGTTCAGGTCCTTAAACAGAGGAACATTAAATACACTATTTTGTACAGCTGACCACCACAATCCACACATTACATATACTCAAACAGAGCACAGAGTAGCAAAGAAAAAACATGCAAACAAAATCGACACTCATTAGGTGCAAAATGTTTATAAGCAGGATTTTAATGTCTAAAATGGACCTCAATATACCTACAGACAAGTTGTTTTTAAAGGAATAGATTTAAAATGCAGTCTGAGTATCTGAGTATCTGAGAAAGTTCCATTTCTTCTCTCACGTATGAACAGACCAGATTTTTAGTTTGTATGTCTCAGATGTTTAAGTTCTGTGTTAGCACACAAGTTAGCTAAACAGAAGTTCCAGGTTTCTGGTCATTTATTCTCCCCTTTAGGAATAAGTAGGGGAAGGATAAGAAATCAAGCCTGTGTCTTCCTCTAGGCTCAAGTACAACACACAGCATTTGTGATTCAAAACAGTATCAAGTCTTAAAATAATATATTCCATACTAGATTTTACATACTACTTTCTGGTCGCAAAAGGTTCTATTCAGAATAAACTAACAGAAGACTTAGTTGAATTTTTTTAATTAAAAAAAACATACCAAAAACCAACAGCACAAAAACCTTTTCTCTGTAAAAGTTTTAATCACACAAGAAAAAAACCTGTGTAGCATAGCAGATATGTATGTCTTTTGTATAAAATCATACCCATTAGAATTTTGTCCTTGGAGAATTCTAGTTCTTTCATGGTTACCATATCTTTTCCATCAACAGCTGCCTTTAAGGCTGCTTGGTTTACAAGATTCTCAAGCTCTGCTCCAGAAAATCCTACTGTGCCTCGTGCAATTATTTCTGGATCAACAGCTGTGGGGAAAAACAAAGTTGTTATTAGGATCCATACTGCTCCTGAAAAAGCTTGTTATCATGAAAAAATGCCAAGAAATTATCAAATTCTAAGCAAGAATCATGTGATAAACAAAAAAAATTCAGCTTTAGAAGAAATGAAGCCTGATTCTTAAGACACTATGAACTGCTTCGGTCTAGAAACAAACACTGCCTCAGAAAACTGTCACAATGCTACTTACTAAACAATTTTTGTCTTCTTTACAGAGACACACTGTAAAGCCACAATTTACTGACGGAATAAAGGACCAATACATGAGTGGGCTGATCCAGTATGAAAAATGTTACATAAAAAATGTTACAATAAAGTATTTACTTACATGGATCATACTTTATTTTATTAAGGTACCACTTCAGAATTTCTGTACGACCTCTTACATCAGGCTTGGGAACAGTAACTTGCATATCGAAGCGACCAGGACGAATTAAAGCACTAAGGGAAAAGACAACTTAATACACTGACTTAAAAATGCTGCAGTTGCAGTAAACAGTTAATAACCAATATAAAGAACAAAAAACCATTTGATATTTCTAAAGACATCTACATAGACTATGTCTGATGCACAGATGCAAAGAATACATTTTTCTTATCTGTAAAAAGACAGACGGAAGATGTTTATTACCAACCCGTTTTAAAGGGGTTTTTGCATTTTAAAATTTTGCATTGTGAAGGAATGCAGCTAGTCAATTTAAGTAGAAAAACCTTCCAGAAATTTTAGATACTCAGAAGCATGTTATTTATTTCTCCATATTTAACTCAACAACCTTTTAAATGCTCCACTGGTCAATATACATCCTTTTTAAGAGGGAAAAAGCCAGCTACAACACTGTAATACTTGAAGATTATCACAAGTAACTTTGTTGTTTTTGTGGTGGTTTTTGTTTGTTTGTTTTTAATACATGCTCTATAGAAATGATCAAAACATTACACTCACTTGTCTAATGCTTCAGGGAAGTTTGTTGCACCAATAATAACAACACCTTCATTAGGTTTAAACCTGTATGGAAAAAAAGGGTGAAAATGTTGGGGGTTTTTTTGAGACAGAATTTCCACCTTTTTTTGGCAATAACTACTTCTATTTCTTATTTTGGATGACCTCCACTGGACACTCAAAAATACACTACCAAGCCACAACATGTGATGCAAGAATGACCATGTTTAACCCAGCAATTGGTTAAAATCATGCCCTGGTCTCAGAGTTTAACTTCTTCCTTTAGATATACAGTTAACCTACAAAATTGAGAAATTATGTAAAATAATTGCAGCTATTGTGCTACTACAACTCAGAAGTTTCTATATTCCTTACAGTAAGGCCATTAATGCTACTGTTGGCAGTACTAAAAAGTGGTCATAACTGCATCTTAAATTTATATCCTTAAAAACATTACAAAAAATTACAAAACACATAAAAGCTGTCAAGGAAGAAAAATTCACAAAAATATTCAAAATACCAGTCAGTCAAGCACCTTCTATGCCCTCATAATCCATATATTTACCCATCCATTTCAGCAAGAAGTTGATTAATGGTCTGTCTTGAATAGGGATGCATTGGAGATTCAATTCTCTTCCCACCAACAGAGTCCAACTCATCAATAAATATAACACATGGTGCATTTGCTTTTGCTTCCCCTGACAAAAGAAAAATAGCAGGACACTGCAACCACAAAAAGAATGGACAGTGTATCACATAATTGAGGCTTCTACTATCTATATTACTCTTGGATTATGAAGTGTTCTATTACACATCACCAGAACTGTCTTGACTATAGCCTAAAAAGATAAAATATATTTTTTTTAATGAAGTGATACAAAGAAAAGCAAAGTTATTCATCTCCACATCAGCTTATTCTTATGCTGTAAGAAACTACTATTAAAATAGATTAAGAAATTAGTTGTATTTCTTATCAACTCCCTAAAACAGTTTATTTTATAGGCTTGGGAAGAGAACATCAACCTATTAAATAAAAATAATATGAAATGTGATGGGTCTAAATGCTAACTTCTTTTAATAGAACCTGCTTGTTATTTAACAGCGAAGACCGCACCTTCAAGCTTACAGGTATTAAAACAATAAAACAAAAATGCAATAATAAACTTTAAGACCATCGACTGGTACATGCACACCAGGATGCAACTCATCTCACCCAGCTAGACCTATCTGTAACACTGATATTAATGTACAAGTCAGTCGTCTAAACTTAAGAAATGCACATTTTAAGGTACAACACACGTCACATTTTGCATCCCTGCCACGTGAAGCAAGTCACACCCCTTTTACAAATTCAAACTACTTTCTACACTGTACATGCCTGACACTATCAACCTTCAATTTAAGAGAGAAGTTGAATTCCCCCCTCCCTGATAATATTTATTTGCATACTTAAAATAGCCTCTTCCGTGAAAGTTATTAATCTAAACATTAATTTCAAAAGTTTCATTATAACGCCTTTTTTCCTGGGACTTTTGATGGGCATGAGAAAGGAAGTCTCAGCTTAGTGCTACACTGTGATCCCATAAAGCTCTAATTCAGAGTAAGAAAAAAGACAATATAAAAATGAGGGAAGTAATTGAGAAGGTTAACACTATTTTTTATCTTAAGTTTACACTTTAATTCAAATTTGCAGTAAGTTACATATGACTAAGTAAATTACAATTTAAAATATTCCATTTAGTTTATAGGACATTACATTTATAATTAAATTACTTTTGTTCCCTCTGGGAGTGTTGTAACAGCAGTTACAATTTTTGCTACAATTTCACCTAACAACTAATAAGATGTTAATTGATACTCACAGAATTCTGAGATTTACCTACACAATTAAAGTTTTATTTATTAGCCTCATATACTACTACTTTCCAGTAACCAGAACTGTACCTCATCAAACCTTGTAAACAACACTGAATACTTCATCTCACATGTTAGAAGATTTCAAAACCACAAATATTTAACTTACTGAATAGGCTTCGGATGCGACTAGCTCCTACACCAACAAACATCTCATCAAACTCAGATCCAGACGCGTAATAAAATGGAACGTCAGCTTCACCAGCTACAGCCCGTGCAAGAAGAGTTTTACCAGTACCAGGTGGTCCAACTAACAGAATACCTAAAAAGAAACAAAAAATAAACAACAAAACCACCAAACCCACACAGTCTTATTATACAGGTACTGTTTCTTCCATGCACTAGAAGAAATAATTTACACTTGGCTTCAAAAAGCCATTAATGTCCCATTTCAGATACTGCTCATTACTTGCTGTCTGAAGAAGCTTCCTAGATAGACTCTGATCCGTATTGAAACAACAAAGACTTGTAAGATTATCAAATAAAAACAGAAGACTGAAGTATTCTACAAAGCTACTGCTGAGTTTAGCAGCTGAATCCCTAATACTGTCTTCTTCAAACAAAGATTTTCCTAGCTATTTCTGAAAGTGGATTTTTTTTATTTATTAAATCTTTCCAAGTAATTGACTTTAAACAATGTAGAACACTAAAAGGAAACAGACTTATCAGGTTTACATATTTCGGATTCACTTGGCCTTCTACTATGATCAATCTTTATCATCCTTCTAAACAAAAACATTTGTTTCTGAACTGTCTAAAGCAGTTAGCAAGCACTGAAGGTGCCGAAAGCTGTACAGAAGAAATAAAGACCTTTTTAAGAGTTCAGTTAACAAGAAAACCCTGACTTTCAAGATAAAGGACAAGATACAGGAGTATAAATAAATAATACTGAACTAACTAATAACTAAAGAAGGCACAGTAAGTTTTGTCTAACCCAAACATACTCATTCGCTTAATACAGGTTCTTTTTTGGACATTTTTGCATTATCTTGGGTAAGTTTTCAAGACTAAACTTATGTTACATATGTTTCTCAGATGAGAAAAGGTACAACAGAATTAAAAATTTTGGTGACAAGAAGCTATTAACTTTAAAAAAATATACATATCCTTATAAAAGACAGTTAAAGGGAGGGAAAAAAATACAGACCTAAAAACCTCTGGATTACATAAAGTTCTACTCAAAAAGGCATTAACACCAATTATGCATAACTTCATCAGTAAATATATTTTTAATACTGAAGTAGAATTTTTGTAGTTCAGAACATCATGTCTAAAAGGTTTACTTGGGACTGCAAAGAAATACCGATTCTTAGCCCTGTAAAGAAGGCTGCTAACAATGATAAACACAGGTTTGATTTTTGAAAGGCTTTTTGCCTGGAATCTACAGTCCACTGCTTTGCACTGTCATAGCTTATTGCCCCTAATTTTATTACTGAATTTATACCAAACGTAAGATGTATTCAGGCACCTTTGCTTCTCTGATCTGAATATCTCAGATAACTCAAATTCTGAGTGGGGACAGGCAGTAATGACCAATTCTTACACAGGGGGAACTGAAGGTAAGACAGGAAGCATGCAATGTAACTACCTTAACCTCCACTCCCCCAGCCCCAAGTACCTCATTTAAGGGTATCCTTTAATAAGTCTCTGAAGACTCATTAGTTCCTCAAATATTTTAAACAAACAAGGAAATACACTGCCTATGTTTAACATTATTTCACTATTTTTCCCCAATTACAAACTAAATACAATAGTAATATTTAGGCCCATTTTGGTTATATACTTTTTTGATTCCCTAACTAAAGGATAAAATATTCAGAATCTAGACTGTAAATTAGACATTCAGTATAGAACAAAGCTACAAAGATAGCTATGGCTACAAAGGATTTTCACTTCTGCTGAGCAATGATTCTTACCTTTTGGAAGTTTACCTCCTAGTACAGTAAATTTATGTGGGTTTTTCAGGAATTCCACAACTTCTTGCAATTCCTGTTTAGCTTCTTCAACCTACGCATTAAAAACATGCCACAAAATATAACAAAGCATTTAGAAAATACCGCATCTTTTTTGTAACCGAGTTTTGTATCAGAGACTTAGACAAATCTTAAATCTCTAATTGTGTACTGATCAAAAATACAAAACAGAAAGAGGAAACAAAAGTGTACTACAGAATTTGTGTGGATACCAACTGTCCAGAAGTTTAACTCAACCTATTTCCTACAACTGTTCATAGGTATAATCAGTAAACACTAAAGTTAATACTGAAGAAATAACCACACCATTCAAGACCAGATCTGACCAACAAGATAAATACAGAACCAAAAATTCTACATCAAAATATTACTCTAATTAATTAAAAAGAGATTAATTCTATTTGTGCAAAGGGAAGGAGAGGAGGTCCTCATTTTGCTACTAAAGGATGAAGAACAGTTCAATAGAAAAAATAAATCAGCAGCAGTGACATGCCCACTTCTTTCTGTGAATCTCCCTATCTCCTGTCCTAATATCAGATATCCAAAAGAGATGGTACTTACAGCCTGCCTTTTGCTATTCTAGCCTTTCAAAATGTGATCCAACAAGTCGAGAGTGCACCTTTTATAAGGTATTAAATGCCACAAAGATATAAAATATAACAAGAGTGGTTAAAACCCTCCTTGATCTAGGAGTGGTAAATATATATAAGGCTTCAGTTCATACAGAGATTTCCTGAACAGAGTAAGATGTTCTTCAGGCTCACAATGGTTAGTTAAGCAAGAACTCACATACACTTTACTTTTGAACTTACCCCTTTTACATGTTCAAAGGTGACATTTTTCAACTGGATTGGATCAACTGCGGCATCAAAGATACTCGATGTTCGAAAGCGTACTAATAGCAAACAGCAGATGATGAACAACAAATTTACACATAAAGTAATTTCATTCCAAGACTGAACTGTGCACTTGAATGCATACTATTAAGCTACTAACTTTACATCTGCCCACTTAAAAGGGCATGTTTCCATTTACAAGTGTCCAGCAAGAATAACATTTATTAAAAAATATATATATATATTTAAAATATCTGCTTTTTAGTCATTTGTAGTACAGAAAGTGCTGCATCCAAAAGCAGGTACACAAAGCCAGACATTCTTCCTCAGTGTTTCTGCACATATCCTAACTTTCCCAAGACCCAGGTAATAACTCAGCATGAAATTCCTCATTTGCATTAGCTCGGCCTTTGATTGTTCTGCTATTTCCAATAGATTTCTCAGGATGATCATTTAGCAAGTACCTAGTTGCTGCAAACTAGGCTGTGGTTACAAATATAAAAACTCAGACCATTTTCCCTACTGCTGACCTAGATAATGCATCATCTAAATTCAAAGACAAAACAGTCTGACTACTTCTCTGCTTGGTTCCACATAGTTGTTTAACCAAAAAAACTAAAATAATTATACTAACAGACAACTTTTTTTGTCTCTATAAACATTTTGTCACACTACTCTCTGAAAGGCTACAGCCAAAAGCAGTAAGTAACTTCTCTTTCATTAGTACATTGAAATGTTATCCTGAAACAATTACAATGTCAAAACACATTTAATCTGTGATTAACCTGCTGGAAGAAACAACGCAAGTTAAATAGTGGAGGGAAAAAAGTTAACTAACCAGCATCAGAAAAGGAGCCTTTCCCAGGTAAAAATGACGAATATATGGCAAGATAAAAACAAAGAACAAAGAGGAAGAAAGAAAGCAAACGTGATCTTCTTAAGGAATCTGTAAAAGAAAACAAAAAAAGTTTTAAAATGGGCTGAAATAAACTACTTTCTGAATGAAGATATCTGAACTAAAACAACTTACCAAGTGTTTTTTGCAGGAATACCTGTGCTTTCAGAAAGCCTTCTGCAAAACCAGTTTTAAAAGCATCCTGGTGTGCCTCTGGGATGTTTTTTGTTTTCATTAGTGTATCTAAGTTTTCAACATCAATTCTTCGCTTTCTCAGGATAAAGCCCTGAAATATTTCACACAGCAACATCAGTATACGCTAAGTTCTGATACATAGTTCACTTACTACCTGGCTAGCATGGGTGAGGGGGGAAAAAAATTAAAAAGTATAATTCAGGTGCTATGGGTTAGTTAAGACAACACAGGGCAGTACCTTGACAATGGAATCACAACAGCTCCAAGAAGGGGCACCCTGATTTTCGCTGAACAAGTCAGGTACAGAGCCCTCCTGGTCCCAGTTCCAAACGGAAAACAGCCTAAGGCGGCTTTGTACACTGGATTCAGCGTGAGTTACTAACTTCAGCTTTTTGCTTCATGAAATCAATTTAATTTAAATTATTTCCAAACGTGAAATATCTTTGTAAGTAGAGTTTTGATAGAGCTTGATCAAATATATCTCATACATCCTACCAAATTTAAGAGCAGCACTGCATGGAGCTAGCTCTGGTTTATCTTCATCCATGGTATACCTAGTCCACAGATGAAATAAACCACATTTGCCTAGAAGAAGGGGCAAGTTCAAAGCAAGATCAAGTGCTTTAATTAGCCTGACTTCCATACAACCAATTAGAAGCAAAGAGTAGCTAGGTTAACTTGGTTTTGTTACGTGCTTGGCTACCCTCAGCCTGGATAGTTATCTGCTGACTTAAAAGTATGTAACTTTGTAACCCACAAAAACAGAGTTTAAAATTTTTGTACCTCAAAAATATACCAGCCACAAGTAAGTCTATTCTTAAAGCAGCAATTGCATGCTGAACTGCTTAAAAAAATACACATTCTTGTACATTAAACTAGCTGTATTTCTGTTTAAACAAATACTTTTATTTGACTACAAACTATTTTTAACAAAGCCCCAAAAACAGAACATGAATAATTTTATTTCTAGAGTTGAAAACCCTGAAACTACTATCCTTCAAAATTCCAATGATCATTATCTATGAAGCAAACCCGTGTATCAGTAAGAATAACAGCAGGTTGTCATTAGGCCAAGTTTTAGATTTAACGCATTTTTTTCACACTAGTGAAACAAAACACCCTTGGTAAATTGTAAAGGTTCATTCAAGAGAAAGACATGATCTGAATAAGCCCAAACCAACTTCATAATGCTACTTGTATTTACCTTCAAAATTGAAGAAAGGGAATTTCTTGTTTCTGTGAACTGTTCAGATGTTGACTGCAGACGTCTTGCTCTTGATCGCAAAGTCTTGAAGGTCCGTGACTGTATGTAAACTTAAAACAGCAAAATAAATTAAAAAATTAAAAACCATCCATTACTACCACTACAAAAAAAAAAAAGCCCTAAGATTTCAGAAACTATTATATGAAAAAGATTATTGAGATTATTGTGACTGAACTGAATACAATTTTTCTGAAATATCCACAGTAGAAAGCGAACTGCAAACAGCAAATTGCTCAAGATGCTGACCAAAAAAGTAGAAACCAAAAAACTGTATGAAAGACTTCTGGATCTAGTAGTAATAAGCTGTGTAAATAAACCAACAAATTTAGGTACTGTAAATGGATAGTTAGGTAATCATGAACCATGTCTGTAGTCTAAACTTGGAAGCAAACTGCTTACTGTTTCACATATATTTTTCCCATAAAATTTTTTGTTAAAATAATCAGGAGTTCACATTGTGAATTACAGATAATTGGCCAACCCCATCACCGTGTCAGGGAACAGAAGAGACATTCAGCTGAATTAAATCCAGGAAGGCTGACAAACATGAAACATTCCGAAGCTAATCCAGAAGGATGGGAATAAAGGTTCCTGTTCTAAAATAAGCTTTGTCTAAAAGCTCAGCTGATCCTTGGTGCCCTGAAGAGATCTGGAACAGTTTAGGTGCGCTGTTAACTTATAAACTGACAAAAGAAATGAGACCATTTGAACACAGTGAGCTTATAGCACTGTGTATAATCTTCTATCACATCAGAAACCTTGCAACAGAAAATTTACCACATAAATCACAAAAGCCAATAATATTTATCTTCTCTTACCACTCTGTTTTAAAATAATCACCAATACCAGCCAATTACATAGGTTTAACTAAGCCTTCTGTTATCACAGAATAGCACCAGCTAAAATGAACTTCTGGAGGTGATCTAGTCAAACCCCTGCTCAAAAAAAGGTTTAACTTCAACATCCGATCAGGTAGCTCTGGGCTTCATCCAGCTCAATTTTGAAAATCTCCAAGGATTAAGTGTGTTGGGTCTGGCTGAGATGGAGATAATTTTCCCATAGCAGCCCTCAGAGCGCTGTGTTTTGCATTAGTAGCTAGAAAGGTGTTGATAACACACCAGTGTTTTTGCTCCTGCTGAGCAGCGCTTAGCACAGTATCAAGGCTGGCTCTCCAACATTCCCTCCCTTCCCCTCCCCGCCCCAAGTAGGCTGGGGAAAGTCTTGGGAGGGGACACAGCCAGGACAGCTGACCCAAACTGACCAAAGGGATATTCCATAACATGATGCTTGCTCAGAAATAAAAGCAAGGAGAATGGAATGGGAAGGGAGGGCATTTGTTATTTATGTTTGTCCTCTGGGATAACCACTACGTGTACAAAGCCCTGTTTCCCGGGAAGTGGCCAAACAACGCCCGCTGATGGGAAGCAGCGAATAAATATTTTGCTCTTTTGCTTCTGCGTGTGCAGCTTTGCTTTGTTTCTATTAAACTGCCTTTGTCTCAACCCACGAGTTTGGGGTTTTTGTTTTATCTTATTTTCTCCCTTCCCCATCCTGATGAGGAAGGGGGTGATAGAGCAGCTTGGTGGGCACCTGGCATTCAGGCAAGGTCAACCCACCACATTAAGATAACACAATCTCTCCAGAGAATCTATTTCAGAACTTGGCCATTCTCACCATGAAAATTTTCCAACAGAAATTTCCTTCACTTTTACTTATAAATGCTGCCTCTTCTTTGAGGTGTACAAGAGCAGGGTAACTAACACAGCTCCAATAGCCATTTGATCACTCCTTGTCTTCTCTTCTGCTAACTTTAAAACCTCAGATGGATGCTTCAGCTTCCCCTGGACACTAAATGCTTGAAAATCTGCACCCTTCCTTATGGCTCATCACTGTGCTACCTGCATTTTGCCAGCATCTCTCTTAACCACGGGACACAAAACCAGACACAATATCCCGATGTCACATCAGAAGAACTGATTAGAGGACAATAACTGAACTCCCCGCGCTCCTCACTACGTTCTTGCTAACGCAGCCCTGTTGTTACCCATCTCATACATCCAGGAGTAGCTTAAACCAGTCACCAGGCACCTTAGAAAGCTCATCTGGATGAATACCAGATTCAACATATTTACTGATTCAAAAGTAGTCATTCAAAAGAACACGATCCTCAAATACTGACATATTTGAACAAGTTTCTATAGTTAACACTATGTTTACTAACTTAATTCTGGAAACATGCTACCCAAATGCGGAAATAACTTCATGATTTAAAGCGTTAATATCAATGGAAAGTTCCCCCTAGAAGTTTACTGGTATTTACTGAGTGACATCTCTAAGTAAAAGTACTTTCCTGGTGTAAAAAGATACTATAGAGATGAAAACCAGTGTAGTTTATTGCTTTATACCTGGCCAACACCGAATATCTGAATAGAAGTTGTGGAGGGGATTCGGATGCTGTCTGTACAAAGAAGATGAGCGTAAAGCACTGAAAACATCCACGAAGCCTGTAAGAAGATAGAGCAAAGTGTAAATACACCCTGTTTTAAATGGCATCTAAACATTACTTCTCACATTGCTTGTTTTTTTCTTTTTTAATTATTAATTTGATTTTGCTACAGTCCTTCAGGCATCTGTAATTAAACAAATTAACCATTACCAGTACAACAGATAGTTAACTGCTTTCCATTAACTTAGGTCAGACACTTTGTGATATACCTGAATTTTTTTCTAATTAGGACTTCCAAAAAATACTGGTACCCAGAATCTTGAATTGGAAGCTGTATCTGGGAGAGAAATCTGCATATTTGTACAGAGCTGAATAAAGTTTGGACTGGACAGGAATCCAAAGACTTTCATGAAGCTGAAGGACCAGCATTCAACTAATCATTCAGTTTCAAAGGCTGTAAAGACAGATGGCTCAGGGGCATTTTAGAACAGACCATGTATAACATATGAAAACATTTTACACTATGCTAAGTCTACTTAATTGTACAGTCCTCATGCAATACAGAAGACTAAATAAATAAATTAGCATCCCAGTGAAAAACTTGTTAGCAGATACTATTTCAAGCATGCTACAGACTGCAAGACAAGGACTGTCATCTATCTGTTATTTAGGTACCAAAATCTCAAAGATTTCATCCTCATTTAGCAGGTAAGAATTATTCAAGAAAAATCAGAGACCTGAGGAGGTAGGGGAAAAAAATTGAGGCCAAACCTACATATGCTCTCTTCCATAGTAATTCAGAAGCTAATGTCATCACAAAAAGGGTAGGGCTTTCTGCTTATTTTACATATTCTGAGAAAGTTATTACATTAGCTAGATACATCTAGGACAGCAAAAAAAGAACCCTGAAAGTTCCTATTACAATTTTTTGAAGTTACATGACTGTAATAAGATCTTACAAGCTAACAACTGAAATACTGAGCAACTATGGGAAGGAGAAAAAAGGATTAGCTATTAATTCTACAATGCTGTATATTCCAGTCTTCTACAATACCACACATTGGCTAATCCAATACAACACAATTATGAACATATTAGTTTAAAAAATATACTCTCCTCACTTTATGCACAAGTATATGCACAACATATACATATCAATAGTAGCAGTCTTCCATAGCATGCAGTGTCACCTACACCAAAAGTACGCTCTTGAAGATTTAGCATCTTTTCCACCTATAACTTTGCCTTTCCAACTATGAATGAAACAACCAGTCTGGTGAGCTTCCACGTTAATCTACCAAAGCTTTGAAACATTCGCCAACTTTCTCTCCACAGTTGGGAAACTGCCTCTGGGCTACTTTTTTTATATCCCACATCACAATGCAATTTAATACTTTTTCTCTAATAGTAGCCCTGAGATATTATTATTATTATTATTATGCTCTTTTTCCCATCTGTGATACCACATGGGCAGCACCTCAAACGTCAGCTGTATGCTTCTTTTCCTAACACATTCTTGAGCATTTACAATGGCCTTGCTTCCTGTATTTTAGACTAATCCCAACAAAACATCTGTCAGGAACCACTCTTGGTTTATTTCAGCAATTAAATACTTTCTGTGGACTGTTAACACTTTGCCACCCTGAATTCATTTTTAATTAATGTCCTTGTGTAATGCTGCTTCAAGCAAAAAATGAATAATTTAATGTAAACTGCAGATGTTCATGACTATGTTGCATTAGTCATGAACATCTGCAGCAAAATCTATTTTCTCCTACTTGGTGAAACAAACTGATGAAAAAATGCATAGTTCAGTCTCACCATTAATAGACAACACACTTGTACTAGAGTTCAGACAAGTTTAATAGCAGTCAACTTCAAATCCAACTTTGGAGAAACAATTCCAAAATTTGGGCCAAATTTTCTAAAATTCCCAAGATTCAAAAGTACCACTCTAGAGACAACCTGTATACCATAAAAAAATATATTCGCACTTTTTTTATTAAAGATCTTTTAAACTATGAGTTATCTATAGCACAAGAGATTAAGGAATAACCGTATTCACCTTTACAATCTAACTCTTTAACAGTTCTCTTAAGCACTTCACTCTGAAACATACCATGCTTATTTTCGAAGAAGGACTCAGCAGAGATGTACGACGTATGCCACTGCGAAGAGACTCTGTTTTCTGCACAGTAGCCAGGAAGCAACCTGTTCACCAATTCTTTGAACTGGTAAGCTTTCAAATCAGACAATCCCAGATCTCTTAAATTCAGTGCAGACTGCAAAATAAAAATAAATGTTCAAAATTCACTTAAGATCACCTTAGGGGAAAAAAAAACAACCAAACAAACCCGAGTTAACTTTTTGGCTCAATACAACTGTGAGCATCTATAGCTCACAGTTAAGACTAAAATAAAAAACTTCTAAATGAAGATAAATGAAAGGACATAAAGAAAGAATATTTGCTGACGTCAATGCAGAATAACTTTTCCATTTGCACACACTGATATTTTCATCAGCACAGTACATTTATGACAAGTATACGTTCTTCCCAGTTCAGTCTTTTTAACACCTTCCTGGTCCCTGGTAACAGAAAAAAAACATGTTTTTCCATCTCTTTCTACTCTTTATGATAGAGCAAATGAAGAAGGCAAGGAGCACAGATGTACAGCAATAGCCACCCATTATATTCATCCAATAAGCAAACAGCAAAATCCTCCCAATCTCTTATTATTGGCTGATCTTTGGCAGATAATGCAGATTTAGCAGCGGCAAAGATTGGATATTTAGAAGCTGTATATATACTCAGAGTTAAAAAGCCACAAGCTGGCTAGACAGACAATGAAAGGCTGAAGTTTCTATGGGGAAAAGCAGAAGTACTAGGATCTGGGGTTTCCTACAAAGCAAAGAAAGTATGAAAAAAAAAAACCAAACAAGTAGGTAAGGCACACGCCCTCGAGTACTAAAGAAGCAATCTTGATCAAAGTAACTTTAATCTTGTATTTTACAGATAGGAAAAAAAATCTTTTTATGGGAAAGTATTTTAAAAATACATATGGGTTTGGACCCTTTAAAATATCTATTTTATTGAGCCTCTCAATATTGCTTCTGCAGTAACATTTTCTTAACTGAGAAGGAAATATTCTATTCTAAATGTACCTGTACAGATATTTTTGATTGTTAGAACATTATGGATTCTATTTTTGTTTTTCCTAAGTTGTTTTTACGTAAGCTTTATGTTGATCTACTTTGAAGGTGAAACTAGATTTCCAGTAAAAAGATATACATGAAAAATACTTGGAAAAAACATCGAAAGGAGCATTTTTAGAACAGATTCCTAGGTGCATCCAGAATACCATCATATTCAAAGTTAATAGTTTACAGTGGATTCCTTAAGTAAACAAAGTATTCTGGGTAGATTGTTTCTTGTCCACTTATACTCAGAGCAAGTGCAAACACATTTTTAAACATCATTTAATGTAACACATGGTTTAAAGGAGTAGATCAAGGTTTCCCACTTCAGCTTAACGATTGCTTGGAAAATTAATGAAATGCTCAGGAGGAGAGAAGATTAAGAACTTTTTTTAAAAAGGTAACATTTTCTGTAACCCTTCAGAATAGCTTACTACTTCCAAACACAGCTTTAGATTTGCAGCAGAGCCGTTGCACATTCTCAAATAATGATTTCTGCCATTCTAATAGTTCAACGTTATTCAATATTAGAACTGCACGTACTGTGTCAGTATTTGCTAATTTTAAATTTGAGCTTAACCTTTATTTAAGATTAGATTTATTATAGTCTAATCAACTTGATTTAACAACTTTCTTTAAAAATACTTTTAATTAAAAGAGGCTTTTAAAATTATTATTCTTATACTTGTATCATGCTAGGAGGAAGCAAACAGGTGTATGATGAATTAGAGAGAAAATACTAAATGTGAAAACCCCTCTGTATTTAAAGGAGACCAGATTCTCTTGCTGAGTAGAAAGACAAATACAGAATCGCACAACAGTTGGGGATGGAAGGGACCTCCGGAGATCATCTAGTCCAACCCCCCTGCCAGAGCAGGATCACCTAGCGTAGATCACACAGGAACATGTCCAGGTGGGTTTTGAATGTCTTCAGAGAAGGAGACTCCACAACCTCTCTGGGCAGCCTGTTCCTGTGGCCTGTCACTCTCACAGTGAAAAAGTTTTTCCTTACATTTCCTGGAATCTCCTGTGTTCCAGCTTACACCCATTGCCCCTTGTCCTACCATTGGGCATCACTGAGAAGAGCCTGGCTCCGCCCCCCTGACATTCGCCCTTTACATGTTTGCTGACACTTTAAGAGCTGAAGCTACAGGCAGCTTCAGCCTTGAGCAATTAATTCCTGACTTTGAGTGAAAAATAAAACAAAGCAGACTGACAAGCAAAGAATGTATGAGACAAGATAAGGGAAGACTTATGTGCTGTAATTAGTAACTAGTCAGAAGTAAAAGAATGGCTCGTGAACAGGTGGAATTATGCAATCAAGTATTGTAAACCAGGCATGTGAACAGTAGCTTTTAGCTAATTAAGAGTTGTTTGTGTTTGTTTGTGTGTGTGTGTGTGGTAGCAGCTTAAGAGTATATAAGTGATCATGTAACCAATAATAAAGGTCTCCAGTGGGATTCACATTGAATTGTGTGGAGTCCATGATTCACCGCTCTTGCACATGTTTATAAACATTAATGAGGTCTCCCCTCAGTCTCCTCTTCTCCAAGCTAAAGAGACCCAGCTCCCTCAGCCTTTCCTAATAAGGGAGATGCTCCACTCCCTTCATCACCTTGGTTGTTCTGTGCCGGACTCTCTCAAGCAGCTCCCTGTCCTTCTTGAACTGTGGGGCCCAGAACTGGACACAACATTCCAGATGTGGCCTCACCAGGGCAGAGTAGAGGGGGAGGAGAACCTCTCTCGACCTACTAACCACACCCCTTCTAATGCACCCCAGGATGCCATTGGCCTTCCTGGCCACGAGGGCACAGTGCTGGCTCATGGTCATCCTGCTGTCCACCAGGACTCCCAGATCCCTTTCCCCTTCACTGCTCTCCAACAGGTCTGTCCCCAGCCTATACTGGAGCCTGGGGTTGTTCTTTCCCAGATACAAGACTCCACACTAGTGCCTCCTTATTTGCAAATAACTACTGAGACAAGTACTAGCTTTATTTCCTTATTAATGAAATACTGGGTTTTTGTAGAATTCTTGCTGCCAAAGCACTGACTTACTGAAGTTCTGTCAAAAAGATACACACTATGTGTTAACATTCTGTTTTGGTTAGTTACATTAATTATTTTATAAAGCGAGTCAAATATTAAGTTCACTTAAACTGATATTACTCAGATTTAATTCAGTTAAAAGCAAACCACTACTTTATCAAATGTTTTTTCCTACCTCACTCTTCTGAGGATCATGTTCTGGGGAGGTGTCCCTCTGGACAGGCTGTACAGATGCTGAGCTGGCTGTAGTAGTAGAGCTTTTTGGTGAATGAAAGGCATTGATAAGGTGACTCAGAGGAACAGTTGCCTGGAGGAAAAAAAAAAAAAAAATCAGATAATGATTTAAGCTTGTTTAAACTATATTTAAACATATCTCCCTTCCAAAGCCTGACTTATAATTGCATATCTTATACACTGCCTTTTAACTGAGGACTTCATAATAAACCACATGAACTTAGTTTCACCACCACAGTGTTAGCTGGCATCTATTTAAAGAAAAAAGAAAGTTTAACTATACATGACAGATTAGAAGCTTACAAAGCTTGGAAAAGGAGAAAAAAAAAATATCAAAGAGACTACATTTCCTGGTTTTCAAACATACACACATAAGCATGGTTTAAAGAAAATAATCACTAGATTTGCAAATACAGAAGTAGGACACTTAGGAGATGCAAAGGCTGCCCTCAATTTGCACTTAAGACAATGTTTAGATACCAAAAAATAATATACAACTTCTTATAGATTGTTCTCAGCTGAAACTACAGGGAAACAAAACTCCTGCTACACTTAATACTTCCTTCAATTTTTTTTCTCCTAACGTATCACTTGTTTGCTGTGTTAGGTACGTGGTGTTGCAACCAGATGACACAACAGGAAGGACTGTTGCTGTCTTCTGACAAACATTATAAACTTAACAATCATTTAATGCAAATAAAATACAAGATTTTGTGAAACAATGTTTTTCCTTTGTCACCAAGTGCCCATCACAGTCAATTAATTTACATTCCAAATAGGTAGTTTTTCCCACATAGCAATAAAAGACACAAAAAAAGAAACTATCAGTATGAGGAGAGAGAGAAAACACAATAGGATTTTACTTCTTCGCTGAGAAGTCTGCAAGTTGACACCATCTCTTGAAATGTTGAAAATGTTTACAGTTACTGTCATTCAGGAACTTTCTCTTTTTTTGGAAAAAGTGTTCACTTAAAGTAATCCTGAGCCTGTCCTGGTGTCTGACAAAACAAAACTAAGATCACCACTCTGATATGACTTCATAACACAGCCACAGAAGAGAAGTAATGTTCTTTAAACACCATAAACAGAAAAACAATAGTAAATGAGGCACTCCTTCTATTTAGTGGTGGGCTTTAATTTTAGACTTTAATATGAAATATTGTAACATAGTAAATTATAGATTATCCCTGGACAGCAACAGATCTTATCAAGCTGGTTCCCCCTGAACCAATATGAACAGAAAGCTCGGTGGCTGCTTTTGAATAGCATTGAATCATGAGGATTTATCAACACCTTCCTACTTCAGATATCACCATTCTTAAGTACTACTGTCCCCTGTATTGTTTTCCAAACAACACCTATTTTCATCTATAAAGTAATACTTTTATAACTTGAAATATCTGTATTTTTCCTGCATTACACAAATTATTCCCAAAAGTTTATTTCATGTTTTCTTCCTTGGGATGCCACTTCAGCAACATATCTAAGTAACAAACTAACCTAAACCATCAAACTAATCAAACTAACCTAAGCCTCAGCACATACACGTACCACAGTGAATTCTGCAGTACAGCAGCACTCAGTCCGCCCAGCGACACCACCTCCATCAGCCACGTACCAGGACTCCTCCTCTAGCACAGGACTGTGCCTGTTGGGAATATATGGTACAAATAACTCCAACGCTTCCAAAATGCCTCAGTCTCATTACACGTCACTAGGGAAGAGAGCTGGGGTGCAGCTCTGGCTGCTGGAACGGTATCTGACCACAATACCCCACTGTGCCTCTGCCTACAAACATCCTCCACAAGAACTCTTATCTATGTGTTGACTAGACAGAGGATCGAGAGAGACAATGCTGCAAGACATAAAAACCGCCTCAGAATTAATTGTCCAAAGTTATAATTAAACTCTGGGAGTCTGTGGTAAAACCATAAAGCCTCCAGAGATCAAAGCTAGCATCTCAACCACTAACCAAGCTTTTCTCCTGCATTTCCCACTATGAAAAGGCAAAATGACACATTCCTAAAAATATAATCACAGCTTCTGTAATTTCACTACACTAACAAAAGCAATTAACACATTCTCCACAACTGAGAAGATCAAATCCCGCTGTGGAATAAGCCTATCGCGTACTAAACAGCCTAACACAACACATAAAAGTAAAGCCACTGGTTCAGGGGAATATCTGAAGACTCACCAGCTCCACTCGACTCGCTACCGAACAACTTCTGTTTTGTTTTCGCGGGAACCCGTGACAATGAGCAGCACAGCCTAACGCGAGCCGCAGTAACGCCGCTCTTCTCGCTTCTACTCAGACACCGGGCACCTGACATGGCCCCTCCAGGTGACCCCCTCGTTCCAGACCCACGAGCTGCTCCTGCACCGTCCTCT